TCTATGACCGTTTCCTTGATCTCGTCCTCAACCCGATCATACTCAAACACGATAGTGTTCTCTTTGGTCACCGGAAAGTAGTGCTTTCTGTATATATCGTCTACCACTTCTTCCAGTATCCTTGCTCTTATCAATGATCGTTGGACTTGATAGGCTGATAAATCTCGATGATCACTGTCCTTGAACTTCTTTTCATCAATGTGCACGTACTCGTAAGAACCATCCTCATTGCCCTCATAACCATACCATTCTCCCTTTCGTTCCCATTGCCTACTCTCGTCTTCAAGATAGGTGAACCATACCATCTTCTCGGGGATCTCGGATTCGCCGGGCCATCTTGATGACTCGTTCATGACGTCGTCATCGCGCTCGTGGTAGACAGTTTCGGCTTCATCCGGTTCAACATGATCAACGTCTTTCTTGAAGCTGACCTTTCCCGCAGGAACCGACTGCTTCAAGACTATCGCAGGCATGGCGATGGCCCTTCTCGCAATCGCTGGTGCTGCGGCCTTGGGGGCAGCCTTCGACTTGGCTTGTACCTTGTCTCCTGACGTTGCCGGAGCCGAGTTGTTCTTACTGAGCTCATGTTTATATTTGCAAGCACTGCCTTTCTCACACTTTCCCTTTTGGAATGCGTAACATACCCCATCCTCCTTCTTTGGTGAGGACGATCTGGATTTGGATTTTCCTTTCCCCTTTCCCTTGGGCATTTTCTCCAGCTTGTGCTCCGTCTTCTTGCTGTGGGAAAATGGGCACTCGTTTCCCTTCAAGCATCCTTTTTCTGCTTTGAAGTGATACCAACATGGATTCTCTTTGTTTCCACTCGGACTCTTGCCCCTGTCGTTGGCACCATCGGACTTGCCGTTCTTGCCAGCGTGACCCTTTGCTTTGGCCTTCGGGAGCACAGGAGCGGCATCGGGTCCCTTGGATTTGTCCTTCTTGCCCTTGCCATTTTGGCCCTCCTGCTTTCCGGCAGCCGGGGCTGCGTCTTTGCCGCCCGACCTCATCATCGTTTTGACCGACTTCTCCTTCATGTCGAGCATCAGGTCCTCCCGATCCGACTTGATTTGGTGGTCAATCAATGCCAACAAGAATTCGTACGACTTCTGAGGATGTTTGTCCGGTAGCCTGTGGTAGGCGTTGAGGCAAACTCCATCTTCCTGCTCCCTTTGATCTTCCTGTATAGGATATCTCTCAGTGTCAATGGACTGGGTCAGTCTTCGTTCCTCATCTTTAGCAGCAAATCATACAATTTGTTCCTGAACACAACCAAGTTCTTGTCTCCAGGGAAGTCAAGGTTGAATAAGTGCTCGATGTGATAGACAAGGTCCGTTCGATCAGATGTTCTGAATGATTGCATGACCAATGCCACCAGTTCTCGCCCCTTCACGATCACTCCTTGTTGGTGTCGTAGTTCCGAATGTCGTGTAGCATCGAGGTATACATCTTTAGCTTCGTCAGGCGCTTGTCTCAGCATGTTCTGCATGCCCATGGCCATCTTGATGTCGATCGTAGCAAACCTGTCACCGCCGGAGTCGCTTAGTAGATTGAGGTCTGGGTTTAACCCGAGAGCCTGTTCCAACCATCTTGTCCATGCATCGGTATCCGGATCTGCGCATGCGCTCAGCACATTCATCAGCAATTGCATCTTCCAGTTATCGAGCTGATGGATCTTTGGCCAATTGGGAATGGATACCCTTTCAGCCTCTTTCCTTGATATCCTTGGCCTCTCGTTCTTGATCTCACGATCATCCCTCAATCGTCTGTGTCCCCTCCGTGCCCGGCCGTCATCCTCTTCTTCCTCGTCTTCCTCATCCTCTTCGTCATCGTCATCTTCATCCTCATGATCGGGTGGTACATCTGGAGGTCCTCCCCCGCCACCTGCTATACTCAAATGACGTCGACCCGGCCCTTGTTGGTTCCCGAACAAGAACCCGTTGTAATCCAATGGAGGCGTATTGTCATTGTTTCCCCCTCCATTATCACCACCACCAGTTGTAGTAGGTTGTGGGACTAGCCCGACAATCCCTTGCATCTGTGATAGGTGTACGTCGATCATTGGATCACCAAAGGACGGAAAGAGGATCGAACCCGGCACTAGTGACGAATTAGGGATTGAATTTGATGATGATGACGGGTATGTCCCGGTCATCTTCTTGTCTTTCCTAACCGAATTAAGTTGGGGTCCTCCCTCAGGGCGCTTCACTACTGCTCGTCCACGATGTTCATCCTTCTTGCTCGAGGCCTCCTGTACCTCCAGCTTCTTGAATGTTCTGAGTTCCTCATTGTCCGCATCGAGCTGACGAACGAAGCTCTCTTCTTGTTTGAGCGTCGCCTCCCGATCCTTCAGTTGTTCCTGAAGCTTGCGCATCTCCTCGAGGTACTCATCATACACCCCTTTAGCTGTCGACAGCAATCATCTGATCCTTCTTTGACACGTCGGATTACTGTTTGACGATCTCTTCCTTCTCACGAAGGAGGCACTCTGCTCTTTTCGATTCTTGTTCCGCAAATGCCGTCACGTCATTCAGTCTTGTCATTAGCTGCTCCCTGGTGTCCTCCATCGAGTACATTTCGGGGCGCTTGACCAGTGCATGTTCCAACTGTGACTTCAGGCTCTGAACCATCTCCTCCTCGTTGAACTTCTCAATAGATGTAGACGATTCAATCCCTCTGATCTGTTGTTGATAAGCGGAAATCTGTTTTGAAGCTTCACGGTGAATTTGATTTGCATGTATAGCTGATTCCTGTGCAGCTGCCTTCTCGCTCGCCATGTAGGATCTCATCACTGCAATCTCCCGCTTCTGCTCCATGATCATTCCCTCAGCTTGTCTCATCTGTTGCATCATTGCATTCGACTCCATGTCTTTCTTCTCCCCGTATTGATGCGTTCATTTCTGCCTCGCGCATCTGTTGGGCTTCCGCCTCAAACTTGCGCCAGGCCTCTGCCATGTGGTGTTGGTGATGACTCACAAGATGCCCCGATTGCTTGCTGGCAATATCGCATCGTCTCTCCAGCTCCTGGATCCGGATGGTGCTCCCATAGTCTTCTTGAGCTCCCATAGTCTTCTTGATGAAGATTTGTCATTGCCGCTGACATTTCATCAATCGTCTTCTGGTACTCCCCGATCTCCATCTCCATCTTGTTCTTCTCTTTGATTGCTGCGCGAAACTCGGCACTCGTGGGCGATTTGGATCTCCCGCCGTTCGATGTCGACCTCACGCCCTGTTGCGACGCCCGCGGGGTCGCTGGTGAAGATGATGATCTCCTCGGCGGAGAATCTCTCTGTTTCGACTCCTGACGAATAGCGACTTGATTCCATGATCTCGTTGGCGTGGATATGTCGCTGAATAGCGCGGATCCACCGCTCCCAGGTTCATCCTGCGAGTCGGCAACCATATCCATGACCGCAGGAAGAGCCATCAATCCATTGGATCCCTCCGAACTGTCGTTCCCAAAAGTTGCAGTACTTGGGCTCGCTGAAGATTCCATTGTACTGTGTGGGTTATTGTTCTTCTGCAGTTCCTGTACCCGCAATAAACCAGCAGTCTCTCCGTCCACTGTAGAGCTTCTTTTACGGCTGATAACCTGTCAAGAGATGGCAAGATGACGTCCCGGGGGACGCTGTCCACCGAGCCTCCAGCTGTGTGTACTCAACCACGTAGAAAGGGTATACGGCCAAACCGTTATTGCCAAACCAGTGCAAACTGTTGTAAGGGGTAAAGCCCAATAACCACAATTGCACACTCAATATCAGCAGCGCGAATGAACCTGTTTTCTCTCTCACAGATCGATCACAGGCGAACGTAGTTCATGCAAGACCTTGAGCCCTACTTGTAGCTTGAGCCAAAATGGCAACCAGAGGGACGGTCCAATCAACAAGAACATGGACCTCAGAACGGCTTCCCAATTTAGGCACGGGGCCAGGAGGGTTTTAACAGTTGTGCTGTTGGTGGTGTTGTTGTTCGTGCTGCCGTTGTTGATTGTTTGGGCGCTTGCTTGCTTTGTTATTGTTGCTCGTGGTGTTGCTCTTGTTGTTGTCGTTGTCGTTGTTGCTGATGTTGGCGTTGGTGTTGCGGGTGTTGGTTGCGGTTGTGGTCGAGGTGTTGTTGTTGCATTGATGGTGTTGCCGGTGCTCATGCGCATGTTGTTGCTGTAGTTGCGGTTGTTGTGGTTGTTGCAGCTGTTTCTGCTGCTGCCGCTGTTGTTCTTGTTGATGTTGATGTTGTTGCGGCGGTTACCGTTGTTTTTTGCTGTTGTTGCTGCTACTGTTGTTGCAACGACACCAGCGCCTTAGACAGGCGAAGAACGCACAGCGCTGATTATGCTCCGCAACCCCAACCCATCAACTCAACGAACTGGGAGGATCATCAACCGACACACAGCTATGACACCCAGGTAGCTGAGACTTGCTGGCTGGGGTTTTAGAAGGTCTAGGAGCGACGGGTATTGACCTTGTTTGCATAGTTGCAGCCATTTCGGAAACTATAAAAAGCAGCGCGTGAAGAGCATGATACGTTGATCTGATAGGGTTGGGCCACACTTTCCGCGACTTTGGACTTGTCCGAATCGTGATGGTTGAGCGCCGCTTGCCTTTAGCCTCACAGCTTCTCCGTGTCTCAGTAGCATCAGTCTATGCTGCTAGCAGCCCCCGCAGCGCGGGTAATGGAACACAGCGTCCAGGAAAGAAGCGCTTGACTTGTAAGCTGTGAAGCCTTGGCTTAATCTCACAGTTTACTTATACTTCGCGCCATGGAATGCAAACATGGCATTCCACGTCTGCAGCATGGCAATGGAAGCAACAAGTCGGCATTATTTTGGCATCAGTTGGGCATGGTCCTTTTGAGGTGTGTCGTTACACGTAAAATATGGCTAGCTGCGCAATGCAAGTTTACTGTCGCAAACATGTGCTATCTGGCTAGCGACCGTTGGTCGATTGGGTTTGCAGCTCACTGCTGTCACCTATGCTCGGGGTTGGGTGACACTGCAGCCAAGCAGCAGTAGGCAATGCCCTGATCCGTCACCTCAGGCATCAGGACACATGTTGCTGTTTCTAAGCCTGCGTAAAACTGGCTCTAACTTCAGCATGCTCTGACGCATGCTGAGTGAAACACGGAACACGCACTTCAACACGTTGACATGATGGAGGTAGAGCAAGAACCCTTCGATATTCCATTTGCGACACGCACGAAGCATCGGCAAGGCACAGGGCCCCAGCCACAGGGTAGAAGAGCGGCCGCTTGGAGGCTGCGCAGCAGAAGTCCTCGCAGGGTTGAAGCGCGTCGTTTGCACTAAGCACTCACATCCAGAGGACAGCTCCATGATTGCACAGATTTCAGCCACAGCAAAACCTTGACAAGAGCATAGCCGGCGAACCAAGCAGTCGAGCACATCTGGCCTGGGATTTCGCCTCAACCCGGAAAGTAGATTTCAACCACTAGTCTTTGACTGTTTGCATCAAGTGCAAAAAGCCTCCCAAGCCCTCTCGCTCTGCGATAATGCTCCTTTGGTCGATTGACGCAAAAAAAGGACTGGCATGTGATCTGAACTGAGGCCCTGCATCTGAATAACCCTTAGCCCTGAAAATATTTCCTTAGCGGTTCAAATCCTTAGCGTGGACTATCCAAGCGTTTGGCACTGGTCCCAGCCCAAGCTTGGCCTGCGGTGAAAGTATCGGACCATACTAGAGAGTATCGGACCATACCAGAGTGGCACTGGCTGTTTGGAAACAAACTTGAGTGGGACAGAACTTCGACGCTCTTCTCCTCTGGCACATCGCCCTGAGGCACCTGGCCGAAGGATCAGGCTCAAGCTACCGGGGGCACATCGAAACTGGCAAGGAACATGTGATGAGTGGCCCAAAAGCAACAAGGCCGCCCTGGGGCTGGAAGGATACTTAACCCCCACAGGTTTGATACCATATCGGTTGACGCGGCGCTAAGTGATCCGGCTAGGCCATCTCTGCCAAGAGTGCCCAAGAGTCTGAAACTGTCTAGGCTTGTGATGTTCATGCGATTGGTCGCTGCATTCCAGCATTCCTTGAATCGAATCGGTTGATCTGTGCTGCTTGTGCTGGCAAATTTACTTCACCAACAAGGTGTAGGCAGGGCGGTCGCGCTTTCAATATAAGCCGTTACGCCGCTAGAAGCAGCTCGGGCTGCTAAGCTGCTAGTCGTTACGGCGCTACGCGCCGTCTTGCTCAGATTGGTCGCGCCTTTCTGCCGCTACCCGGCGCCAGGCTGACAGATCGGCGCGACGCAGCTGTTGCACAATTTCGCGGAGCCATCAAGCCATTTTGCCGCTAGACTAAGCCGCTTTCTCGCTTACTTGCTTGACGTAATCGCTGAATAGCTTGCGATGGCTTAACTGCTTACCCTAATCGCTTAACCGCACGCTCGCTGAACGGGCTTGATGGTTTCATTGCTTGTTTGCTAGCGCGTGCTAGAAAAAAGTACGAGTACTTAGCCGGCTGGCAAATGTTAACCAGGTTATAAACGTTTAGTATCTCGGCTAAGTTGGGTTATAAGGCTGCCAAACTCCTTGGCAAACGAGATAAGTTGGTCAAACCTATGTAAGGTTTATAAGTTGTTTCTAAGGTTTACCAGAACCTATCTAAGGATTATAGGAGATATGACACGCTTTAAAAACCCCCCCGTTGTAAACTGCAAGCCAAACACTTAGCAAACATGGTCGCAACCCTTCTAAGGTTTGGTGGGGCTAGCTTTTGGGATCTGTTTTCGGGGCTAATACCCTTAGCAGACTTAGCTTTTTTTCGAGCACAGTCATGCAGCATGCAAAAGGGAAGCCGAATCATTTATCTTTCATGTTTTTTCGCCCCTGCGCATGCCGCCGCGGGCGTGAGCCCGCGCGGCACCCGCGCAAGCCGCAGCCGAGTATGATGCATGAGCCGCCTTGCGGACGCAAGTGCTCAGATTTGATATCAGATTCAGTTTTTTAAGATTTTTCAGAATCTGAATTTTGCGGATTTTTCAGATTCAGATTTTCTGAATTTTTTCAGAATCTGAATTTTCAGATTTTTTCAGATTCAGATTTTCAGATTTTTTTTTGATTCTGAAAATCTGAATCTTCATCACTTTCTTTACGTAAATATTCAGATTCAGATTTTTCAGATTTTTCAGAATCTGAATTGTTCAGATTTTTTTCAGATTCAGATTTTTCAGCTTTTTCAGATTCTGAAAATCTGAATCTTCATCACTTTCTTTACTTAAGTATTCAGATTCAGATTTTTTAGATTTTTTCAGAATCTGAATTTTTCAGACTTTTTCAGATTCAGATTTTTCAGATTTTTCAGATTCTGAAAATCTGAATCTTCATCACTTTCTGTACTTAAATATTCAGATTCAGATTTTTCAGATTTTGTCAGAATCCGAAAAATCTGAAAAACGGACTCTGAACAAATCTGCAAAATTCAGATCTGAAAAAATCTGAAAAACCGCATCTGATATCAAATCAATCTGAAAAATCAGATTCTGAACAAACCTGAGAAATATGAATCTAACAAACAATGTCAAAACAGATGGGCGCTCCGAGCTGTGGAACCGCTAAAGGGAAAGGAGAAAACAGATGAGCTGCGTCTTTGGGGCCGCGCGGGCTGCCCGCTGCGGCTTTGCTTGATGTCTGGCTCGCAATAGGAAAACGCATTGTTGCACAAGTTGCACACAGGCGCTGTAGTTTGAAAGAAAAAAACCTTAACAGGTTTAGCTGGTTTAGCTAAACTTTAGCTATACCCTTGCCTAAACCACCTCCTAAACCAGATTTTCTATCCCTTAGAACCCGCTGCTAATTCTTACAATGGCTTTTATCCCCAGCCGGCTAAGTAGGCGGCGGTGCTCCCCTTAGGCTACCGGCCTTGAGGGGGTGGGGACGCTTGGTGGCTGCGCAGGGCAGTGTTGCAAGTGGTAGCTCCGGCTTACCGCGGCAGACCGCCTCTTTGCCTTGTCTCGTGACTGGCGACCTCTGTGAGCCATGAAACAGCCTGCTTGCATCTGTGAGTTGCAAGATCCGATGGACGTGGCCTGAGGATAACTGGGCCTGCAACATGGGTTCGTTAACAGTTTTGCAGTTGTAGTCTACTATATCAGTTAGCAGCAGTTAACTTGACTTATTTGTTTACCTAGTCTCGTTTTCTTACTTATTCTAGTTAAACGAAAATGGGGCAATTCTGGCAAAAAACATGTTAGCTTGAAAAAAGCTGTTTTTTCTCACGCGTAAACGGTGACGCTTAAAAATGTGTTTATTGCGATTGCTCTGAATTTTGTTGGAGTGCAGTTGGTTCATGTGACTGCGCGGCTGAGCCTCGCATTTCGGCAAAAGACAATGCTTGACTCTATGAAAAAGAAATAGTTTATATATATATATATGTATACACATGAGTTGCATAAAATACAGCGCGCGCAATGAGTATGTAATTTTACAGCCGCGCTGTTTACGCGGCATGGCTGCGCAAGCGCTGCGACTTGTTTTTGCTCCAGGCACAGCAGAGGTTGATCCGTCTCCCACAGCCACCAGAATGGGTGCAAAGCTTCCCGGACGCACAGCTCCGTCACAGTCTTCATGTTGGCGCTGAGTGTCCACCACGACGCGCCGGCTGAAGCGCGAACCTTACAACGCAGCATTCGTACGCCAACTTGCAACAACACAAGCCGAGCGATAGAAAAAAAACAGAAAAAAGCGAAGCAAACCGCGCTAGCTTGCACGATGCAGAGAAGGCTGCCGTAGTCGCAGCAAGCTCGCGCTATGCAGGCGTCGTCGCGCGTGCGAAGCACATCGCCGCTAGTGACCGAAACGTGCGGCAAGCGTGCCTCTTGGGCCGCAAGAGGTATGCTGATCAACGCGCAGCAAGGGTTGCCACAGCGCTGGGAACTCCGTTGGCTTTCGCAGGCCCAACTGGAAGACGTCGCGCTGATGACGCTCGCGCGCATGTGAGGGGAGCCAGCGCGGCAGAGACGCCGCGGGAATGCCTCCGCCCGCAAACTGGCCAACCCTGTCCGCAATGCTGTTCTTGAAGGCGCGGTGCTTGGCCTGCATGGGCTCACATCCGCTTTTCTCCCCATGCCTTTTTGTGGTGCTTTTGTGTTTCAATTGGCTCACTCCAAGGTAGTGCCAGCGATCCCTGCCCGAAATCGGACCCCTGCAATTTTCGGTATGGGTCGTGCTTCCGGCTGCCCACTCTGACTTGCGCAGGCGCCCGCCATCTGCACTTCCGGACCGCGTGTGTCTGGTGCCTGGCAGGGAGGTCAGGATCTCGAGCCCTTGTCTTCAGCAGCAGCACGCGTGCGATCAGTTAAACTAAAATGGCACTTGCAGATTGCCACGCGCCACGGCCTGCTTCAGCTAAGCGGGTGTGTAACGGCAAGCTATTTTCAGATGGAGCCATAGTGAACAGCTTGTGTGGCAAAGTGATTCGCGCCATCGCAAAGGGCTTGCGCGGAGGGGCGAAGAACCAAGCGTGACAGCCGAGGCCGCACGGTGAGCCGCGGGCTGAGGGTTGGACGCTACGACGCTGGAACTGCGGGAATCTGGAGCCTCGCGGGTAGGGGTTGCAGTGTGGAGAAGGCCTTCCCTGGAGCCGGGAGGCCGGAGCCCGGTTCTCAGAGGAGACGAGGCGGGATCAAGGATACGTTTGAAGGAGTGGACCGGCTACTACGGCGTCTTCAAGAAGAATGCGCAAACTGGAAGCGATTTGCCCCAAGGTGGACTTTTGAGGTGTTGGCGCAAGAGAAAGGGGGATGACCTCGAAGGGTCTGAACTATTTTATGCGAGGCACCCGCAAGGCGCTACGCGTCCACCTCAGCTGCTTCGCCATTTTTCAAGCTGCCACCTTTCTTGGTGAGTACCCTCCACATCCTCTGAAAAGCCTGGCTTGCGGCCAACCTACACAGTGCGCTGTAAGTGGAGATGTCCTTCATGTTGTGCTCAATCATTGCCATTCGGTCTTCAATGGCGCTCCCGCAGCTCAGTCCGCTGTCGCAGCACCAGCCAGGTTCGTGTTGACCGTGCCACACTCCTCCACCACAACCCAGCTCCACTCCGTTTTTAGCTCCGGCTCCCAGCACCTTGGCTCCGGCCGGCTGTGGGGCAACGACGCCCCTGACCAGCACCTAGCGCTGCCGCATGACAAGAACCTGGGTTCGGGCGCACTCCCTCCGCGCTACGCGTGGCAAGCAGCGCGCGCGTTCCAGCCACACGCCCGCCTGCCATCATTAGAACTCCCGCTCAAGCGCGCTCTCTCCGCACACAGGTTTTGTAAGACCCCGCAAGGTGAAAAGAACCCCTCGCGTACTCGTGAACAGTTGTTCAAGCGTGGCACCTGCGCAGCTCGCTCAACGCCTGTTGGGTGATGAGCACCCCTGCTCAAGCGCAGTCACTCAGCCACACACACACACCTGCCACATGATCAGAACCCCTGCTCAGCGCTGCGGACACGCCTGCCACATGATAAAAATAAAAGCTCTGCTCCCAGCCCACTCCCTTGGCAGTTCGCACTCGCTTACCAAGCGATAAGCAGCCCGCCCAAACCATTTTAGCACCCAAGTTTACTTTCTCATGATCCGCTCCCGCTCCTTTTCAAACGATTGCCTGGAGGATCAAAGTGTAGTAATTTTACATTTTGCACGCCCACCCAAAAGTACTACACAAAAATGGCTTTGTGTAGTAAAATCGCTGTGAAACAAAATGTGCTTTTTGACCACACAAATTGAAGGCACAATTGCTACAAATTTAGTACACATGCGTAGTAATTTTACTACACTGCGTAGTAATTTTCTGTGTAGCAATTCTTGTGAGATTGCCAAGGTGCGTTCAATCTGCTTTCAAACTGCGTTGGCGTTTTTCACAGTGGAAGAGGCGCAGTCCTACATCAAAAACAGGCAAACTGCATCGAAAGCACATCGAACTACATCAAAACTACATCCAGACTGCAGGCAAACGGCATCAAACTACATCTAAGTTGCATCGACACTACAGCAAACTTCGCCAAATCTACCTTTAAGGTGGGACGCCCGGTTTGCTTTATCAATTAGGAACAACGCGAATTAAACCAACTACAGCACAACATGTCCAGTCGCCCGCAACTGCCAATCTCACATTGTTCGCGCGATCCCCTTGCGAGCTCGGTGCTGCACTATGGAAGGGTGATCTTGCGGGTTGTGAAACTGTGGGGCTGCGGGAAAAAGGTTTTGAAGGGAGGTGCGGCATAACAGGAGACAAATGAAAGGAGACAAGGGGAGACAAGTGAATCCGTCCGCCCCAAGACCCGTGCCAAGCATCCAGGCTGGGAATGAAGGGAGAGAAAAAGGGGACGAATGAAGGGAGACAAGGGGGACAAGTGAGCCCATCCGCCCAGAGAGACGTGCCAGTCACAGGCTGGAAGATGAAGGGAGTCAAAACCGTTTTCCCCCAGCCCCCACAAGATCACCCTTCAAGAGTCATGTTTTCTGTGCAGCTCTATGAGTCTATAGCGCCCTTCCAGTTGTCCTGCTGTTCATGACGCAAGTCCCTTCACAACCTTTGGTTTCCCAGGCCCAGTTTCAACCCACAAGATCGCCCGTCAAGAGTCATGTTTTCTGCGCAGCTCTCATGAATCTGTAGCGCGCGTTTGTCTGACGGTTGCGTTGTCTCCCAGCCTAGAGGCTCTCCGGGCGGACAGATTCACTTGTCTCCCTTTGTCAATTGTCTCCGGCGTCGGATGGGCGGATTCAGTTGTTTCGCTTTGTCTCCCTTCATTTGTCCCCTTGCCTCCCAGCCTGGATGCTTGGGCGTGACGGATTCACTTGGTCGTCCCCGCCCGGGCACTTGCCTCCATTTAAAGTGACTCGTGTTGCCAAACCCTAGTTTGGAGGCCTGGTACGGCTATTCGGGCCTACGGATTCACTTGTCTCCCTGTTGCCTCCCAGCCTGAACGCCTCTGGGCGGGCGGGCTCAGTTGTCTCCCTTCATTTGCCTCCCGTTCCCATCCAGGCTGGGAGACAAATCCGAATTCACTTGTCTCCCTTTGTCTCCTTCATTTGTCTCCCGTTGTTCCACGGGCACGCGTGTTCGTTTCAAGCTCAGAAAGGCGTGTTTGAGCGCGCGCGTGCGCTTGATCAATCAACGGACAGCATTCTACGCACGCGCGAGTGTCCAAGTGAATGATTGTGCGTTCCCGGCGTGTAGCTGAACACATCGGAGCGTTGCAATTGAGCGCGCTTTTTTGGCATGTGACCACATAAGTGTGTTCATGATTGTGTTCCAGGTGAAAGCATGCGAGTGTTCATTGTGTTCCAGGCGAACACCTGTTTGTTATCAGGTGAACACTCGTGTGTGTGTGCTCCGGGCGCACAAATATGTGTGTGTGTTCACGTGTGCACATATGTGCGCAGGCGTGCGCACATCTGTGTGGCCCACGTGTACACATCTGTGTGTTACAAGTCAACACATAAGTCTATTCTGGTTGGATATGGTTGTGTGATCCGATCCAGGTCTGCACCAGTGCTGTGCGTGAACACACATGTCTGTTCCGAGTAAGCGCATATATGCGTCCCAGGTGAACACACATGTGTGTTGCAGGTGAACTGAAATGTGCGTTCCAGGTGTACGCATGTTTATGTGTGTGCCAGGAGAACACATGAGTGTTCTCCGATGAACAAACGCGTGTGTGTGTGTGTGTTCCGGGCGCGCATACATGTCTGTGTTCACGTGTACACATTTATGTGTTCCACGTGCCCACATATGTGTTCACATGTGCACATATGCGTGTTGCACGTGTACGCATGTGTGTTCACGTGTACGCACATATGTGTTCCAATTGGACACGTGTTTGTGTTTCAGGTAAACACGTGTTTGTTATCAGATGAATGCTCTTGTGTGTGTGTCTGTGTTCCGGCTGCACAAATCTGTGTGTGCGTTCACTTGTGCCCATATGTGTTCCACGTGTACAAATATGTGTGTTCAAGTGTGCACACATTTATGTTCCAATTCTACGCCTGGAACACACATATGTGAACACACGCATGTGCACACGTGAAACATTTATGCGCACCCGAAACACACAAGTGTTCATCTGAAAACAAACATGCGTTCGCCTGAAACACAGGCACGCGTCCAATCGGAGCACACGTGTGTGCACACGTGAACACACACATGTATACAAATGGAGAACAACACACATGTGTGCTAGGTGAACCTTCCTTCTTGCACATGTGTGTGCTCCAGAGAATAGTTTTCACCCTATAGGGCTTTCTTTGAGCATAATTCCAACACATAAATCAAACAAATATAAGGGCCCGCGCAACAAGGGCCCCTGTAAAATTCAGTAATTGTTGAAAAAGACCCGCTGTGCCTCTGGTCAAGTCCTCTGGCACCTCTGCCTTCTCCTTCTCCTTCGGGAGTTCGACATGCCCATCTTCCAAAGGCAGTGGCTGAGGGCAGTTTGTGAGCGCCGCTGGGCTCTTCAGCCCTCCGCGTGGACCGGCAGTGTACAGCCGACCCATTGCCTTCGAAGCTCAGGTACGCTCATCTTCGAACACGTCCACAAAATCCATGATGCCTCCCTCCAATTCGCTGTCGCTCAAGTTGAACTTCTTCTGGAAGACTCTTGGCCGTTTTCCCACTCGTCACACGGGTGCCGCAGGATGAGGAGCCAGAGACGTTCGAGGGACCGTTCAGCACCAGGCCTGCCGCACTTCCTCCGCTGCAGCACCGTGTTGGTGAACTGTGTCTTGTCCGATCGGTTGCTGAGCCTGCCATTCCCGCAACGTAGGTTGCCGATCCTGGCCATCTCGGATCAGGACCTGGAACCGGCCGGTCTCTATTCGCAGCGCTTCCCTCGTCATCCGTGCCAGCGGTCCGCCTTCTTCTGCTGCTTTTCCTTTTTCTCACCTTCCTTCTTCTTCTTCTTGTCCTCCTTCTTATCCATCTTGCTGTCAGCCGGGTCCTCCATCAGGTTCAGCTTCCAGTCGGCATCAGCATTTTTGCTGCCTTGGGCGCCTTTGGCTGGGCCTTCCCCTTTAAGTTGGCCTTCCCCTTTGGAAGCCCCTTTAAGTGTGCCTTGGCTGTGGCCTTGCCCTTGGGCGCCGCCTTTGCGGCTGGCTTCTTCAGCACTGTCTGCTGCAATTTCTCTTCAACCTCTTCTTCTGGGTCATCCGCCACCTCTTCTTCTTCTTCGCCTTCCTCAGGCCAACATCCAAATCGTCAAAGTTCTCCGTGCTCTCTGCATTCTGCTTCTTTGAAGGCATGATGTGTCACACAGAGAGGGCGTAGAATCATGCACAGCAAAATTACAATCCTTTCATTTTGGGCAGGACGCGGCACACGCGGAAAAATGCATCCACCACATGGGACACAACCTGTTGAGCGCATGTGGAAATGCATGTTGCAATCTCTTCACACATGAGAATTAACAGCTGTGCCTAGAGCAGTTAAGTGCAGTTGAGGGATTTGGCAACTTGAATGCAGTTTGACTGCAATGTGAAGCTTGAGTGCAGTTTGACTCAAAATGCAGCATGCAGATGATGCAGTTTGAGTGCGCTATCACAGTTTAGCGCAGTTTCGTCATTGAATGCACTTTGGATGCACTTTTGCAGTTTGAATGCAGTTCGAGTGCACTTTTGCAGTTTGAGTGCAGTTTGAGCGCAGTTTGGGAGCAGTTTGAGTGCAGTTTTAGCGCAGTTTGGATGCACTTGTGCGGCTTCAATGCGGTCTGCCGTTTGAATGCAGTTGCGCAGCGCATGCAGTCTTGGATGCAAACTTGGATTCATTTTGCAGTTTGGACGCGAGTTGGACACGTAGTTTGGCAGGTCGCGTGCAGTTTGCAGCGGTTAATGATAGGTTTTGTTGCACTTTTAGTGCAAGTTCAATAAGTTTGCAGCTGTGTGTGGGGTCTTGATTCGCTCGCAGCGCACGTTGAATGGATTTTTGCTGGTTTTTGGTGTAGTTTCGCACATTGTTCAGTAGTCTTCCGCAAATTGGGACTTGTTTTGGCACAGTACAAACACAACGCA